TTAAAACTTAATAAAACTTGTGGTCAAAAATAAAAATTACTAATATATCAGGGATTAAATTATAAAATATCAAAACTCATGGGCCTAATTCGAATCATCACAAAAAGCTATGTATTGATAGTGTAATTTAGCCTTAATTCTTAATCGGTGATTAAAATATAAATTATTAAAATTAAAAGGACTAAATTTGGTATTTACCATAAATATTTAATAAATATAGCAGTGCCTAAAACATAATAAAATAAAATGTGAAGACAAAATTAAAAGACACAGAGAATCAATTTAGTGACTAAAATAGAATATTACAAAACCCTAGGGACTGCAGACATAATTTACGCATTTCGAAATTACACACAAACCCCTCCCCAAAACTACACCATTAGAGGAGGGGTATTTAAACCCAAAATCGGCCTAAAATGGCCTAACCCTCTCATTTTTCTCAAATTTGCTTATCTCTCTAAGAGAGAGAAGCTCTGCCTTGTCTCTAAGTTTCCCTCACCGGAGGGAAGCCGATCACTGGCTAGCTGTCGTCTGCCGTCGCCGACCGCCGGCCACCGTACCAAATTGAAGCTCTTTTAACCCTAAAGCCAAATCCGATATCCTTTTTACTTAAAACCCCACAAAATATCGTAGATCTAAGAAAATACCTACGAAAATCCGATGTTCCTCGTTATTTGAAGAACTCCGATGATGGGTAAGTTTCTTCTTTCCTCTTGTTTTTCGGTTTTGTGTATATCTCTCTGTTCCTCGTTGCTGTTGTGTGTTGCTTGCTCGCGTTTCCCGTTCTTGCTATGTTGAAAACATTTTGATGTTTCGATATAACAAATTAAATTAAAAGAATTTTAATTTTGAAAATGATTTTTCTAAGCATATTCGATATATTAAATCGAATATCAAAATATTACTCAAAGTATTTCAAAGTTCATTTTAAATCCTTACTAAAGTGTAAAATTAAGTTTTAATCTTAAAATAATTTCAAAACAATTTTACAAAGTATTTCGAACCGTTTCAAAGCCAAAAATTACAGTTTATCCAGAGGGAACCGATTCTCCCCAAGGGGGTACCGATTCCCCCCCCCCAAGGGGTACCGATTCCCCTTGAATGGTTTTTCTCCAAGAAATTCCAGTATGCTCAGAGGGAACCGATTCCCCCCAGGGGTATCGATTCCCCCACTGTTCAATGGTCGAATATTTGAATTTTACACTTTGGGAACCGATTCCCCATGAGGGGGTACCGATTCCCCCCACGCTCCAAGTAGAAATATTAATTGTTTTCACACTTAAACGGCTCCAATAACTTCATTAATGATCCCCAACGTTCAGAAGTGATTCAAGGTGTATTTAAGCAAGCTTAGAAGCCATTGATCAATAACAAGAAACATCAAGCAACTAGAATCAAGAGAGAATCAAAGAGAAAGCATCAAACCTCAAGTTTGAGCATTTCAAGCCTATTTTTCATTCAATATTCATTTTTCTTTCAAGAACACTTATTGTGCTCAATTGTATTTATTCTTGAGTGTTCTTTCTTTGTTCTAGAATTGTGCAAACATATTTGTCTTGTGAGGTTTTTCTTGTAATTTTGCAAATTTGTAATCTTCTCTTTGAGAAAAAAGTATTCTCAAGAATTGGGGTATATTCTTGAGGGAGTTGTAAGGTTATCTCTTTGGCCTCAAAAGAAAGAACAAATTAGTGAATTTGTTGGAAAATCCTCAGTGTGGATAGCTAAGGTAGTGGATGTAGACTTTAGTTGATAAAGTCGAACCACTCTAAATCGTTGTGCAATTACTTTCAATTCTCTGCAAAAGCTTCCACCAAACTTTTTATTGCCAATTCACCCCCCTCTTGGCTGATTCCATCGATCGATTAACTCAACATGCTATCTGTGTCCCATCTTTGCAGGTAAGTTAATGGCTTTTATAGGCCTCATCGATGCTCCCTTCAGACCGGTTAAAGGAGGGTCCTTGGTGATTCACCAAAGCTACGGTTGTGACTAACCATAGGGCTACGACGTGTGCAGCGTCCTTGCTTCTTTTGGAGGCTTCGGTTGAGGTGACGAAGGCGTGGTAGCGGTTAAGAGAAGCACCTGGCTTTAGAGGCAGCGGTGATTCATCCTTGATTAGGCGACGGCCGGCATAACCCTAGGGTGTAATGAAACCCTAGGGTTTCTTGTTGGATGCATCTGAACCGTTGGATCTCACTAGATCCAACGGCTGAGATCTGTGGCGGCTGGAGAATATGATGAAAACCCTAATCAGGCTTGGGTCCTGTTGGGTGGTCTGGGTCGGATTGGGTCTGGACTTTGTATTTTGTTTCTGTTAAGCCTCCAGGTTTTTATAAATGGGCCTGTAATATTTGTAATTATTATTTAATAATAATAATAATAAACTAAAATAAAATAAAACTGGACAAAAAATTAGTGTCTACAAGCTCATTTTTTACCAAATTTGAACCACATGCTCCTAGTCATAAACCATTGTAGAATACATACGCACTTTCAATTCCTCTTTTTGATAATTTTTTTTCTATTTTTCAATTTTTCAATTTAGTCACTTAATTTTTTATAATTTCCTTATTTCTTCAATTCATCCTTTATTTTAAGTCCATTTTTATCAAATTTGTACCTCATGCTCATATAACACAATAAAATACTTATGTAACTTTAATTCTTATTTTTTTAATAAGGATATACTCTCTCTTCATATTTAGTCTCTTTACTTTGCATTTTACTCAATTTGATATTTAGACTATAATTGTTTGCAAATTCTTTATTCTCATCAATTCTTAATTCCTTTATACTCTCATCAATATTTTATCTTTAAAATACTTTCTTTAAAATATAATATCATGAATGTATTTTATAATTTTATATTATATTTGGTATATTAAATAACATTATAATGTGAAAAGAATATATATATATATATATATGAGAAAGTCAAAAAACTAGAACATATCCTTGCCATAATACTATAAATAATTATAATAAAATTCGTATAAAAACTCGAATAACTCGACTCGAGTTTCTTAACCCGACTCGACTCGCAAAAAATTTAATTTAAGTTCAAGTTATAAAATACGACTTGTCAACTCAAATATTTCGATATTTTTAAACTCGACTCGATCGTATGCTCATCTTAATTACAATAACGAAGTGCTATTTAAATCTATACTATCACCCTACACTATAGCATAGGAGATCGAAGAATCTTTCCGAATCAGCAGCATCAAAGGCCTTTGTGACTTTCCTGACATCCCAATTTTGTGGGTATGTGGGCATGAAATCCTAGCAAAGAACCGGGTAACATAATCATGATGGATAAAAATCTATAATTATAGGTACATATTTAATGTATATTGTTATTGTAAAATATGACATAAAATTAAGTAATCAATCATGATTATAAGTTATAAGTTATTAGAAGTATCATGAGAATAAAAATGTATATATTATTAATATTGTATTTATAATTTAACGAGGACCAGAGTTATAAATACAAATAATAATTATATAAAGGGGTTATAACCCGTAAGAAATATATCATATCATATTTTCTCTTATCCACTTCAGAGAGTTTATACTGAAGAACATTCTAGGTAATCTCCAACAATGAAGTCAGGTACATTTTCGTAAATTTAATATTTATTTTATTTTTGATGATTTGACATGATTAAGTCTTAATTTGATTTAATGTTTCATTATGTTTTGGTTCTTACATGTGGTATCATCACCTCATCATATTAAATCATTGAGAATATATTAATTTTAGATTCATAATTTATGAGATTAAAATTATAATCGTATAAAATTTACGGTTTATGAACCACAATTAATCTTATCGAAACATTCTTTCTTTCTACTTCGCTGCAGTATTGTACGTTGATAAGCATTGAATCAATTTTTTTTGTTTATAAATTAATTGCTCTTGGTTGTTTTCTGATTGAAGCAATTTTGATGTTCCTTGAAAGTTATCGCATGATTATTCCTTGGCTGATTATTGTTTTTAGGTTTACGTGTATTACTAATATACTAATCCGATGATTGTTTGTGTTAGTAGACTTTGAATTTAGTATATATGCTATAGTTTTTCAAATTTCGATAACTGTATTAAATAATTTAATTCTGTTGAATCAAGATTTTAGTTTTGATTGTTGGTTATTAAGAAAATTATAAAAATAAATAAATTCGTAATTTAATTATGTCAGATATTTTAGAAGGTCCATTGAAACAAAATGCTACTAAAGTGATAGCTATGACCATGGGATTTGGTTGGCCATTGAACTTCATTCGCCTAATGCCATTGTCGAGAGCGACGCAACTAACGTTAACCAAATTATTTCCAATGGCCAGGCCGGTTTATCAGCGGTCAGACTCCAACTTGAGGAGCCACGTCGCCCGTTTCATCTTCATCCTTCTATCACGGTGGCCTTTATCTGACGCTCAACCAGCAAGGCGGCTCATTCTTTCGCTGCTTTAATTGGCTAATGAATTTATAGTAGTACTACTTTTATAAAAAAAAGGACCACGTCATCCTTCTTTTAAAAATGAATGATATTGTGATTAAAATGATACAAAACATTTAGTCAAAGTATAGGAAAATAGTTAATTTGAATCCAGTGATTGAAATGTGATTTAACTAATAATGGGTGTAGTTTACCCATAAAAGAATAGCAGACGATACGTAAAATAGGAATATGGGTCTGAATTTTGGATGATTCCGTGTAAAGCGGTATTGTTTTTCACTCCCACCTCTTGTTTTCCTATCCCATGGTTTCTCTTTAATTCCTCTCCCAGTTTATTTCTTCATATATACCATTTGCCAACAGACCGCATTGCTGCATTACCGGTGTGGTTTTCAGTTTCTTATCGACGGGATTTGAATAGAGGCCGTAACATTGGGTTACGACCGCAACAAAACAAAATCAAGATCGAAAAAGGCGAAAACTCATCCGGGAACGCCGTTTAGATCTCTTTGTACATTGTAGTTTCTTTACAGATCTCTTTTAATTTTATTTTTCTATTTTTTCCCTTTTCGTGTTTAGTGTGTGAATTTGAATTCTCGAAACAATGAATATCGCCGAAAGGGGTGAAAAGATGGCTGTCCGTAAGGGCTATATGAATGAATGGCAAACTTCTCTCTTGGACGCCGTCAAAGCAGATTGTGCATGTAAATATTTCAACTCTTTCGTCTATTTTCTCTTTGTTCGTTTTCTGTTTGGTTCCCTAGATGATACAGATAACGGAGCTAGTAAATGAATGAATTCTTTGTCCTTTTTTTTTTTTTTTGTTTGAAACAAGCTGGAAATATAATATAGTATGAGTATCCTTCAAGATCATATATTATGCATACATATGCAAAGGAGATTGTAATTTACGGATGGTAAGACTATTGTGCATGCTAGATTTGAATGCTAAACTTCTTCTTCTTCTTCTTCTTCTTCTTCTGCTTCTTGGATATATCTGATTTCGTTTTCCTTTTCCTTGAATATGCAGTCTGCATGCTTGCCGCGTGCTGGTGAGTTTTTATGGCCAACATTGATATTCGTAAATTTGAACACTATTTATTATATAATTGCATCTGTGATGAACATGTTTGAATTCATACAGCTCCCAGTGTGTTTCATTTGACCTGCGGAAACGAGCACTCCACAATGAAATGTCAAGGTAAAAAAAAAGGTTTCATTATCATCTAAATATGAAATTAGAAGTGGGAGTGATGCATGTGTTAAATATTGTTGTAGGTACGAGTGCTGTGCTGGCTACATGCCTTGCAGCGGTAAGTGTCAAGAAGACAAGTGTCCAGAGTTTTGTCTGTGCTTGGAGGTCAGATTTACAACAACCCTTATATCATGTCTTATGGATTTTGGATGGCACAAATGAGTGAGTCTGGCTGTCCCATTTCCTTTGGTTTTAGGTCATGCTTTGCCTCAGCAATTCGGTCGCGTCGACTCGTTTCCTTCTTCAAGATGAGTACAATATACAGACCACGGAATGTGACAACTGCCTCATTGTAATCTACTTATGTCTAATTCCTAATTGGATTCATTTGGCTTGGCCTTTTCATTCTAATGATTATTTTTCAATGTATTTTACAGGCATTTATGATCATTCTTGGACAACTTGCATGCATATGTCGTTTGCTAGCTTGTCTTACTGGAGATGACGGACTTGAGGACTTAGCAGAGTTATTGACCTGTATTTCGGACATGGTTTATTGCACGTGAGACATTCATTCATTCAAATGCACCCTTATAAATTGCATTGTTCTGACCTTAATCAATCGTGTCTTGATCTGTTTTCCCCTTCAGGGTCTGCGCTTGTATGCAGACTCAGCACAAGGTTGAAATCGACTACAGGCACAGCCTGCCGGGCGGCGGCGCGACTGGTGTGATGATGGTTCCTGCAGTGCAGCAGATGTCACGGTTCGACCAGCCAGTGCCTCCGAACATAAGACAACCAGTTGGAGTTCCACCTGCACAACAACCACCGTACGGCCAATATCCTTCTGGACAATATCCACCTGGACAATATGGACCTCAACAAGGACAGTGGCAGCAGCCTCCGCCACCTTACGGCTATGGATATCCACCGGAACCGCCTCCATATGTGGCCGGATACCCTACAAATGCACCACCTCCTCAAGGATACGCCCCCGCCGGGCATCCAATACCGCCTCCAGCCTACTATCCTCCCGGTGCACCACCACCAGCTCAGCAATTCGCTTCGGGTGAACACCCCAGCAATCCTTCTCCTTCTCCTCCCCCTCCACCTCCGCCTAAAGATTCTGCGTAGACATTGATACATGTTCAAGTAATAGTAGCTACCACAATCGTTCTAAGACGGATTGATTCGTTTATTATTTTATTATGAAGTGTTATGATGTCTATTCGCCTGAAACTTCCACTGTAACTCTAGCCTTTTTTCCCCTGGTGATTGAATAACTATCTACATCATATATATTAAAGGAATCTCTTGTTGACACCTGCCCCATTTTGTATTACCAATTACCTGCAGCTAAATTGGACTATTATTTTTTATTGTAATTTTAGCCTTCCAATGTTTAATTTAATTTGTCTACTTACATTATTTTATTTCAAATGCTAATATACTATGTTTCATACATATGTGCATAATCTATCAATGTTTCATCAAACATGTACAATCTTATGTCACAAGACTATACTCGAACAAAACTTTGATGAAACATCTTTGATGTACACAAGGCTGACAAAGGTTAGAATTTGAAATATTGAACTAATATTATTATTTTTGTGTGTTTATGTTTTCAAATGAAAAGTTGAGAAAAATATTTTATGAAAATTCAGAAGGCAAAATATTTTACAGGAAGTCATAATGACAAAAAAAAATGTTTTTATTGTTTGATTAAGTAGTCATGCATGCATTCTTTTTTTTATAATATTTTGGCTCCTCAAAAATCATTTTGTGGATAGAAATTGTTAGCCAACGAATTGTTAACGCTCCAAAATAAGGACCTTGTTGCCCTAAAATGAAATGTTGAGGTCAAAATGGTCCAAAAAGAATAAAGGTTGAAGTGACTATTTAATCCATCGTTGGGGGAATTTGTTTTCCCTAAAATGAAATATTGGGGTCAAAATGCTTTAAAAAATATGGGTCAATTTAACACCCCTTCACGTATCCGTCACCGTAGACGAGTCAGAGATAACACATGAAACTTACGAAACTTCCCTTATTAAAAATAGGTAATAATTTGTTTCTTTAAAACTATTATTATCGAAATAAGCTAGCTTATAACTTATTACAACCTATGTTTGAATAAAGTTTATACCAAACACTAATAATATATACATGACAACTAGTAAAATCGAATAAATCAGATGAATGTAATTACTTATACTATAGTCGTACTTTTCGATAGATAAGATGCCCATCACTCCCTAGTCTGATATTTGCTCTTTAGCTACGCACGAAAATCAACACACGCTTAGTATACACTTAGTGAGACATAATCAATAATACAAAATTAAACATAATAATAATACAAAACATATTATATGAGAGTATAAGAACATATAAAACAAACTTATACCAAATTATTTTCAATTCAGAGATACCTAAAATCATCAAGTCATATATAACGTATTTTATGGTAAATCAATTATGATAAATGGAAAGTCTAACATTCTCACTTATCTGTCCTCACTACACTTTTCAAAATTTCTTTATGTCATAGCCCAAGGTATATAAACAAGAATACAAGGTCTACGAGTCAGTCGAATATGTACAATTTGCACTTTTAGTGCCAGACATACGTACATATACCGTAAACAAAGTATCAATGTACCAATAATCAAGAATACCATAGTACTAGAATCACATTGTATTGTGTATTGTATTCTTAAGAGCACAATAGTCCAAAATCACATCGATTATGTACTCAATGTAACTACGTACAATAGTACCAAAATCACGTCGTACTATGTACATAATGTAGATGCTAGTACTTCACCTATATGTCACACCAACTATACCAAGGACTCTCAATGCACATACAATGTGTATTTCCATTAATTACCACATGTTATCAATTATCAAAGATAAAAATGTATGGAATATTTCATAGAATATACAATAGGCAGTTCATACCATAAATATTTCATTTCCACGTAACATGAATATATCATGAAAATATCATTGTTCACTTACCTTTCTGACACGTAAATAACATGTCCATTATATGATAAATATCATAAGCATCATGCCAATATAATATATTTGGCTTGTCTCAAGCCTTTATAATGACATATAACATAAAGGTAACATAAAATGTATGATTTATCACTCATTTCCCTATTCTGGTAGCTTACACTACCCTTATAGAATTATTATTTTGTATTAATCTACACACTGGAATTCAATTATGTTTGTTCTATTAGAAACTAAATTCGAATACAAATCTAACCATATAAAGCACTCTTTCTAGATTGAATTGTATAATTTATGGTGAATTTTCTAATCTAATTTATAGAATCTGTTTTGAGGATAATTTGTTGCCATTTTTTCTGACCTATCATTGATCAAAAATTCATATCTTCTAGTATACACTTCTCAATCAGTTTTAGTTTATTTTACACAAAACTAGATTGGCATAAGAATATAACAGTATAAGAATCACCTTCTAATCATTTTTATATAATTTATGGTGATTTTCTGAATCTACTATCAAGATCGTAAAGTCTAGACAAATTTCATTATTTAATATCTTTAGCTTATCAACTAATTATAGTAGTCTTCTAAATACAAATTTAACCTAAATGAATGAATAAAAAAAGTCACATAATATTCAAGAGTCACTTTCTACCATAAAAACTCAGTCACTGGCTCATCGCAAGCCAATGTTTAGATATAACATAATACACCATAAACATGCACTTACTTTGACACTTTAAACATCAACCATAAAGTAATATTCCCAAAAGCTTTATAAGATCTCTCATCCTTTTCTTTTGTACCCACTTTACCTCGATTGAACTTGGCTAGTTCACACACATCAATTACAAAGTAACTAAAATCAAAGACATATGTTAGAATCCATTCTAACTATGCGTACAAACATAAGGAATTATCTAAAAATTCTTTCGATGCTTAATCAAAACTAATTACATTTCATACGCTTGAAATTAATCTTGGATACCTAAATTTCACTAAAACCTTATTTTCTCTCTCTTAGGGTTTAAAGGACCAAATTAGGGGTTTTCACATATCTTTTCCAGATTCAATAATTTTACCATCAAAATGAAGCTTAGACGACGGCAAACAACATGAACACTTCAATTTCATCAAAACTCCAAACCCTTAATTGAAAACCCTAATAGGCAAATATATCATGGTGTGTTCACACCTGAATATTTGCTTCAAACAACATTCTAAAGCTTGTACAACATTTAATCATCCATGATAAACATCAAGCCAAGCTTGAATAATTTTCCATAATTTTCTTCTTCATGTCCTAACCTTTTATATCAACTTATCCATGAAATTCATCTTGATTCAAGCATGGAAAAGCTATATAAATAATTAATCCTTCAAGTTTAAACCTTAATCCAATTTAATCGATAAATCATAATCTTTCTTTCTTAAAATTCTAAAGCTAATACCAACCAAAACCATAAATTAATGGTACCAAATTCAAGAGAATTCAAAGAAGAACAAAATTATATTTCATGGTTTCATCAAAATTCCTAACAAAAAAAATGCTTGAAAAATCAAATGAAAGAGTTTTTCCACTTACCTTAGCAACCCATGGAAATGAAGAGAAAAGATGAAGAAAATCTTGAAATTTCCAAAATAATTAATAAAGTTATTTGTCATCTTTTAAATAAAATGTATTTGAAATTCATTTATTAAAAATTGACCACTTTACCCTTAAAATCCAACGCTTAAAAATGTTACACAAGTTAAAATCTCCATCCAAGGGCTAAGATTAATACATGGAGTTCGTAGTTATAAACTTTACTCTTGTAAAATTCCATATTTACAATCTTGTCATTTTCATCCAACAACTTAGATTTAACATGGAAATTCAACTTAAATTCAATGCTTCATATTAAACCTTATCCTTTTAAAGCATGGAAATAACATTTTTTTCCTAGCTATATCATCTAACAAAATATCTAGGATTTTCGATTTGATCCGTTTATCTAAATGTTTTCTCAAACTTTAACACTTTATAGCCTTTAACATAAATTCCTTAAAAAATAATAAGCTAAAGCTTAAAACTCAAAGGCTTAATGTAAAAATAAGTGTTCAAATTATCCCCAAAGTTAATTTTAGGTGGCTAAATAATTTTCAGTTAAAAATAGGTCTCTAACATTTATTCTATTACATTTTTAGGTACCTAACATTTTTGAAGCTATACTTTAAGGTGCCTGGATTGTAACAGCTATTAAAAAAATATTTATCTAACTTGTGTTGTGCTTGTATCTTTTTAAATTTTTTAATTTTTTAAAAAAGTTAAATTTATAATTATTTAAAAATATTTTTTAGGAAAAATATCAAGCCCCCTTCATGTCTCCCCTCCCATGCAACAAACCCCTATTCATGCAATATGAATGAAAAGGGTCAGTATCGACATTATTTCCTCCTCTAAATCCCCGTGTATAGACCATTGCTGTTGTGATCCTACTTCTGCACCTTTTACTGTTCATCTTCCTTTCTTCAAGTGTGGATTACATAATGGATCGGAGAGTTTTACTATACTTGTTTTCACATTCTTATACTTTTATTTATGCATATTTCATATACGAGCATTATGTTTTACTTATATGTCATATTATGCATCACATGTTTAGTATAATTTATCTTATGACATAATTAGTATATCTCATTTATATCTCATTAAGCATAACGTGTTTCATGGGTATACTATACTTTAAATGACATTATGTATCCATCCACAACTTAAATATACTTATTATATGTTTATGAATTCACATTTAGCTAATCCTATGCATATGCATCCTTAGTTTATTTCATGTATTTGACCACTTTCCTAGCTCATACATAGCTTATTGTAGACAACATCATGCATACATATCATTTACCAATGTTATAAATTATGGTTTTCTTAACCTTTGTAGGTGCATTGGATGTTAGGGAATATTATCCCAGCTCTTGGATATCTCACTCAATCCATACAATCTCATTCTAGCTAAAGAAAGCTTTAGCAAAGTGGAAGACAACTAAGAAGCAACTAAAGGAGATGAAAGATAGGTGACATTAGCTGGAGAGTAGTTGAGGACTACAGTAGTTGAGCTAAAGACTTGTGGCAATTGGAGCAAGCTAGAGTGACACTAGGTATATAGCTAGTTACCTACACTACCTAGCTAGCTACCTATGCTTCTAGCCAACTTACTAGCCTAGTTGGCTACCTATGTCACTACTAGCATCATCCTACATCAAGAACACATCCTATGGATGAGACTAAACCATATCATGATG